GCATTGGGCATTTAATGGACGAAGAACCTCCCCCTTCTTTGTCGTTAGTCACCGGAATCACGTCACTCATGTTTCTTCACCGGAATACCTTCTCGTGCTCCGGTTGTCTAAGTATCGTGGTTGTGTTTTAATCAACTCGCTCTGATGCCAATTATTGATTTAAACACAAGAACACGATTATGAAATATAAGAATCACTCTTTATTATCATAGGAAAATAACTCAAAACCTAAGCTCTCACAATCTCAATCTCTCAAGACTCACAAATCTCTCAAATCACATAGGATTACCACACCTTGGTACCTCTATTTATATTAAACTCTCAAGACCTAATCCTAACTCAAATAGGACTTACAACTTCTAGAATATTCTAGATAACTCCTAGAATAACAAACTATATCTCTAAAACTTTATCTCCAAATAAAGACTTATTTCTCAAGTCTTAAATTCAAGCTTATACAACAATATATTTTTAGACCTTCCATTGAAATTAATCTCTATAGTATTTTCCTCGGGAAAATTAGAAATAAAGGAGCTCTAAAAAAAAGTTTGACCATATACACTTTTTTTTTGAGAATGTCACTTTGGACTAAAATACCCATACTCTCTATTTTAAGCATTTTTTGAATTATTTTACCAAAAAAAACATGTAGATATACAAGATTATAGTTGATTTGAAAGAAAAAAAAATTGATGATTTAGTTGAAAAAAAGTTGATTTTTTGATGGATAAAGTTTCCTCTAAAATTATTAGAATACGTTTTCTAGCGTTCTACGAATATCAGAATTTATATTCTAAACTTTTGTACATGTTCTACGAAAATCAGAGTTTGTATTCTAAATTTTTGTACATGTTCTACGACTTTTAGATTAGATACATGTTCTAACAAATTCAGAAGACCGGAATACAATTTCCAAAAGTCCTTAGAACATGTATTCTACGCTTTTCTTCATGTTCTAATTTTAGTCAGAAAATCCATTCTACGATTTATAACATGTTCTAAAAACGTTAGAAAACGTATAATTATTTTAGAATCCGTTTTCTAATATAATATAGATTTCAATTTCTGAAAAGTTTTAGAATTCCTAAATATAGAAAGTGAATCTTTCAAAAAGGAAACTGAATATTTATTAAATATTACTTTTTTATTGTTTAGATTACGATCTGAGGATGGTTAGAATACGTATTCTAATATTCTCAGATGAAAAAAAAAATAAAAACGAAAATCTAGAGGGTGAAATTGTTTTTTAGCCCTAATCGTCAAAGTCTTCTTCTTTCACCTCTTCCTTTTAAGTCCACGTTGAAAGAATAGACTAATTTGGTAGATTTGTCGTTGTTTTTCCCCGTTCTGTGCCACGTTTTGTCATTTGGTATATACCCATATGCTGATGATGTGTATACAACTGCCACTTGGAGATCATTATATGAGGAAACTATTAATCCAATAGGTGTTCCTGAAGATGAATGGCGCGTCCCAGAGGTTGTTGAATCTGCAAAAGTTTTACCACCAGAAACAAGAAGACAACCTGGTAGACGAAGAAAACGAAGATATAAATCAGCTGAAGACAAGATAAAAGCATCACAAGAGTCACAATTATCAAAAAAGCATAAATGCGGTCGTTGTGGTAAAGAAGGCCATAATCGAGTAACATGTGATGTAGCAATATAAGGTTTGCGATCGTGATCTGACTACTAGTTTAAAACTTAAGTATAGATTCCCTACTTTTATATTTTGTTTTGATAATTGTTTTCTTTATCTTTTTCAGGATTATGTTGCAACTGCTCCCATTGAACGTTTCTAGTTACCACTATATGGATTTTGAACTTCTTTCTCATTTCATGATTATTTTCGCATTTTTTATTTCAGATTTGAATTTCCTAGTACTCTATGTTTGAATTTTTGTTCTCATAATTGGAATCCCTACTACTCTTATGTTCGTGGTTTTGCTTTGAGTTTCGGATTGACTTATCACTAAATTAAGTATATACAGCATAAGTTCCAAGAACAATTTAACATAATTTAAAAAGAAACGTAAGAACCATAATCTCAACCTACCAAGTAGGAATTTTCATTTAGTTTATTGTTTATCGATGTGGGAAGTTGATATGTTGTGTTTTTATCGGTTTTGAGTCATTGTTTTCTTTCCTACATCATATGTTTTATAGAGTCAAAGTGTGTTTTTAGAGTATTTTAGTCTTTTATCGAGTCTTTACAGGTTTTAGATTGCTTTGGAGGAAAACGAGCTGTTTTGGGTTATAAACACACTTTTGGAGATGCATTTTCGTTTAGAAGTGTCATACGTTTGGTCTCAGATGGAATACTTCACACCGTTAGATCTTTCTGAATTTTTGACACAAGCTAGATGAAGATGTTAGCTTGATTTTCCAAGTAGTTTGAAGGAAATCTAACGGTAAATTTAAGAGTTATACCCAAATTAGTGAAGACTGATCAATCTGGCGAAAGAATGAGGGTATCTGAATTATGTAAATAAAATAGGAAATAATTTTTTTAAAATTTTTTTAATTATATTTTCGAAAATATGAGGGTAAATTTGGGTTTTGATTTTTAAAAAACCTATTTCACCAAACTTTATATATAAAAGTATATATGGACATTTATCCATTAAAACATCCTTTATTTCTAATTTTCCCTCTTTCATCTTAATGACCGTTGCAATCTCTTTCATTTATTGAGTTTTTCAATACTTACTTATTTTTCATATTCACATTCATGTAAATCATGCTGATGCAATAATTTTCAAATTCTCAATTTACCATTTCTATTTCTTGTTTTCACGTATCTTTCATTATTTCCATCTTTTCCTTTCACGCATTTATATTTTTGTATATTTCTTTGTTTCTGTATTCTTTTATATGCTTTTTGTCTCATCTTTTCTTCTCTGTTTTTGATATTTTGTGATCTCTTAAATTCTTTATTAAATGTTATTTTGTGTCTTATGCTTTTCTAGTTTGATTTCTCTTCTTTAGTTGTTTACAACTTTCTCAACCTATTGTTTCGGTTTCCTAACTTGTTTTATTTTTACCTCACTTGCACTGAGATTAAATTATCTTTGTTAATTCGAAGATGACGATTAAAATGATATTTATATGTTTGTGTTGTGTTGTTTTAAAATAAATTTGAGCTTCATTTATTTTATGGTTATGCTTCAATACTTTTTAACATAGTTAATTTCAGAATAAATGGTTTTTATATGCAGTAGTAATTGGATACATGTTAATTTTTAATTGCTCTTACATGATGGGTTAATCCCTAAAAATTTTCTTCATCTATGTTAGAAGTGATAAACGAAGAAGAAGAAGAATCGTGAATTTGTGTTAATCTTCTTAATCCAATCTTATTACATGAGAGGCTCTTATATAGCCGATACAACTGATTTTACAATGACTAAACCAATATAAACCAATGCTAAACCAGTACATATTTGATTACTCTAATACTCCCCCTCAAGATGAGAAGGGAATCTCATCTTGGACATGAAAACGTCAGTCCAAAAATGCCAATGTCCATGCTATGTTCTTGTATGCAGAGTTAAGGCAAACTCTGTGTAAGCTTCATCTCATGTGTTGCATTCAAAGCAAACACTTCAGCAGCAAAGATTTGTACTCTGCCACATCCAACAATAATCACTCTTGGCATCAAGAGGATCAGAGGATCACCGAAAGAAATGTATAGGATTTGTACTCGAGAAGCTAGTAACTGGAACAACAAACCAGTCAAAGTAACAACATGCCGTGGACAACCACAAGACATTAACTGTTGTAACTTCTGCAAACACGAGCCAAATTCAAGAACATTTCCTAAAGCTAATCGTTTAGAACTCTTAAACCAATTGAGAAGTGGTTGTAGCAAACTCTGTGTCATCAGCAACTCATGTGTTGCACACAAGGCAAACACAACATCATTGTGAAACTCTGTTATACTACATCCAATCACAACAAATAGAAAACACTTCAACCAGCCAAACAACTCTTGCATGAAGCAAAATCCCTTTCCAGCAAAAATACAAACTGCTTCATGGATCAAAGTAGCCAACCTTGACCAGATTTTCTCATGTCTTGAGACACAACTCTGTGAACCAATTATGACATGTAGATCTAGCCATTTTGAGGAAAAGCTATTAACCTTTGTCAAACATGACAGCAACATGACCTCCATAACATCAATTGATGGAGACCTTTGTTCCATTAGTCTCATATGTGCTGAAACATAAGAGTGAAACTGCAGGAATCTTTCAACGGCAAAGTTCTCAACACCTCAAAACAACAAGCTTCTTGCTTGACAAAGAGGCTTAAGTGCTGAACCATCACACCATTTTTAGTGACATGAAAATCAGTCGATGAACCATCATAAGGAGGAGCTATCATTCGCAACCTCCGAAGCTCATTAACATCTTCACATTATTTTCATAAACCAGTGATTCCAATTGCAGAAAGCTATAGCAATCATTTCCATAGAGGTCTAAGCCGCATATAACAACAACAGACTTAAAATTCTCCCCCTGTCTTAAAGGATTCTGATGCCTAAAACCACTTTCTGAAACTATATCTAGGGCATGAACAACACCACACCATAAGGATGACTCAACAAAGAATCTGAACCTTGTGAATTGTTGTAAACTTCTTAAAGAAATCTGCATCTCTCTAAGAACACATCGACATTCCAAAAATCTCCATATTGAAACAACATCATCAATAGAGATATATCTTGAAGCTATATGTTTAGAGAGAGATTTCAGAAACTGTACCAAACCAGTAAAATTGCATCGTTGAAGCAAAACAGAACAATTCTCCGGTGGCCGAGATAGAGATCCAAAGATATAACCATCAAATCCAGAAGAAACACGATTGATAATAATCGAAGAAGAATCACGACACGGAATCTCTCGATATGAAGAAGATCTACTACCGCGAGGTGAATCATTCTCTGGATCAGAAGTTGAGTTGCGATTTCTAAGTTTGGATCGTTTCTTTGTCATCGGAGGAAACACACGATCAATGGACAGAAGAAAGATGACTACAACAAGCTGAAATCGCATCATGAACTCAAATCTTGACGAAAATCGAGCTCAAATCTTCGAAATTGACCGTACGACTCCGTAATCTTCGAACGGACGCTGTCGCATTAACCGGAATCGAGATCGGAGTTGAATCGCCGAAGAATTTAGGTCATGAATCGGTTGAGCTTGGGCTCAACGCTCTGATACCATGTTAGAAGTGATAAACGAAGAAGAAGAAGAATCGTGAATTTGTGTTAATCTTCTTAATCCAATCTTATTACATGAGAGGCTCTTATATAGCCGATACAACTGATTTTACAATGACTAAACCAATATAAACCAATGCTAAACCAGTACATATTTGATTACTCTAATAATCTACTCGCCACAAAGAAGTCATCTACTCGACTCGAAATTGGCCGCTTCTGTTTTGTTTCATTATTAGGTGATGTGGCAACTTAAGAAAAATGTTTAGGATCTGATGTAGATATTCTTAAAAGACTCAAATTGTCCCTTTATTAGTATAGATTTCTTCCCAAACTTAGAATTATTTCCCACAAAGTTCCATTGGTCACGTTAGTAGCATTAACCCTTACCTAGTCATGATCCTCACAACCAAAAAAGGTTATAAATTATGGTTTTTCTTATTCAATGGAGGGTGGAGAAGATAAGCATTGAGTAGAAGAGACTGACCTAGTTAAAACCCTATATATAATATATTCCCATGTTGCTAATTAAATATGATGTTAATTAGAATATATGTTTCAGCATCTCAAATTTCAACTCTCTTTTATAAATATATACCTTATATAGTTGGCTAAGTTACAACTTGGTCAATAACTTCAGTTTTTGGTATTTATAGTTTCCAATGATATTCTCCCACAAGGCCTCAAAACAACCAAAATCACATCAAGAACATAATGGGTTCAGGAAAAACTAGGGCTAAACCGACTAACCGTCCATCAGTGAGACACCCGAGTCACAATCATCCGTTGCGGGTCTTCAAATCCAAAGAAGAAGATGAGATCATTTGCTCTGGATGCGAACGTGATCTAATTGGGCAAGCTTTCAAGTGTACAAAGTCAGAGTGCGATTACTTCTTGCACAAGTCATGTTTCGACCTTCCCGGTGAGATCCATCACAAGTCTCACACAAATCACCCTTTGACCTTGCTCCATTCTCCACCGAATGGCCTATCCACTTACACGTGCGATGCGTGCGGTGAATACGGATCTGCTTTCACTTACCATTGCTCGGAGTGCAAATACCATGTTCACGTGGGATGTGCGTTTGTCCCTGAGAACGTGGAGCGTGAAGATCACGAACACCCACTCACACTACTTTACAACACACCATGCAAAGGTCGTAAGGACGGAGTGATGTTCATATGTGATGTTTGTGAAGTAGATATGTCGGAGAATCTTTGGGTGTATTACTGCAAAGAATGTGACTATGGGACGCATGTACATTCATGTGCGACATATGAAGATAATGAGCCAAAGAAAGGAGAACAAGAAGAAGGAGAATCAAGCGCATTATCGGCTTCAAGGATAAAGTCACTAATGGAGGCTGAAAAAGAGATGAGAGAGATGGCGATAATACATCAACTACAGTTAGATGCTCTTGACGCGGCGGGTAGTTATGTCGGTTCATGGGAACCAAGGAGAAAATATTATTGGTGAATGATGAATGTTGGGAGGACCATCAAACTTTGTATAAATTTTTCTCTTTTGTGAAATTTCGTTTACGAAATAAAACCAAGTATATGTTTTAGATTCTGATCTCGTTCTTTCTTTGTATGGTTTGCAAATTATTATTTTTCATTGTGGCTTGTTGTAATGTTATGAAATATAAATAGTTATATATATTTTGTTGTTTGATTTACATATATTCACCGATTTCGATTACTTAGCTTATTACTTTGTTTCTATAGCTTCTAAATGTCAAATGATAGTATTCTAAACTCATATATAGCAATTGAGATCACATGCTTAAACAAAAACAAAGGCATTTTTTTTGACGAATCCAATCTAATTATTAAGAGGAATAACAATGAATCAAGAAAAGCTTGTTAGAGAGAAGAAGAAACAAAATAATTCTCATTCATCTTAATTGAGAAAACATTACATCGGAATCTCTTATATATAGTAAGAGGGCCTAACTCCTAAGAGGGTTTTGGTTTACAAACATTATTAAACCAAGATTGTATATACACGGTTAACATAAACCAACTTAATCAAATTCTAAAAAAAATACTTGGGTTCATTCCTAGGTGTAAATCTTTTTATTCACCCTTTTTTTTAACCAATTGTAAAATCTAATCTGCAATCAAACCGAAGTTATATATCAGTTTGAGTTTATAAGGGAGGGTTAGTGTTTAGATTTATAATAAAAAAACGAGGTTAAATATAGTTTGGGTTTATAAATGAGGATTATAGTTTCGATTTTATAATTAAGCGAGGCTAATATATCGGTTTGAGTTTATAAACGGATTTAGTCATTTAGGTTTTACAATTAAACGAGGTTAAATGTCGGTTTGAGTTTATAAAAAAGGATTAGGGTTTAGATTTTGTAACTGAACGAGATTATATGTCTGTTTGGGTTTATAAAATAGTGGTTAGAGTTTAGATTTTAACATTAAATGAATTTGTTTTTTTTTAATTAGGTGGTAGATTCTGATTGCGTAGAATAAGAGGGGTTGAGTTGGACAATAACATGATGAACAAAACAAAAATTAATAGATTAGGTTGTGTTTCGAATTTTCACCGAGCTTGGAACATAAGAGCACAAAAGTGGGTAACAACACCCTTTGTCTCTTGATTTGCCAAGATCCACTTTTTTCGAGATTCCATTATTTCCAATGATGTAAGAAATGTTGCGACCGGAAGGGACATTTATCTCTCTCTTTATCAAGAACCACGGCGACATTCTTCTCTCGTCAACAAAGAAACTCCCAACGACATTAGTAAACCCAAGACCAATGACTGGTTTCATATCAACAGCTATATAAGTACAAGTTGCTCCACGACATTACATTGGGCTCAATCTTATTAGAAATCCATATCTTGACGGTGGACGATGCACCTAGTTTCTGAAACAGCACCGCAAGCTGCTCTTCTCTAACACTAGAAAGAGTGACAGTATCTCCAAAGAGAGCGTGGAAAGGCAGAGGCAGACGCGGTCCAAATCTCTCTCTTGTGAAATCAAATAATAGTAGGAAATTAGGGTGATCTGGTGATATCCGACCATCAAATGGGATCTTCTATTGAGCATACCAGTAAGTGTCAATGTGGTTAAACGAAATACGCCAGTCCTGAGTGAAATCATTAATGACACATTCTATGAATTGGAGTTTAAAGTGTACATCTCAAACTCACAAATTTGGTTGCCACTGATCCCGTCGTACTCATTCACAAATCTCAAGACTTTGTACTTCTTCTTCTCGTATCCGAGAGCGTACTTCTCCCGTATGTGGTAAGAAGAATTGCTGGGTGATTCGATCCACCTTGTTTGTCCCAAATAAGGATTCAAAACAACAACCCTAAAGGAGTCTTTTTGTCTTTGTCTTTGTTGATGATGCATAAGAATAAACAAAGTACATGTTTTAAATTCTGATATCGTTTTATCTTTGGGTCATTCACCGATTCTGATTGATACCATAACAGAGTCATGATCCAAAACAAAAAATATAGATACTTTCTAAACTACATATAACATGAAGAACAATAACTTTCTTTTCAAATATTTTTCTTCTTCTTCTTCTTCTTCTTCTTTTTGGTCTGCATTCATATATGTTCTGATCTGGGACATGCTAGTTTTCCTTGGATCTGAATGTTAACATAAAATTTCGAGGATATGATGCAAACATCACCACTACAAAGTCCACGGTGTTTCGGACCAAGAGAGAGAGTGAGAGAGTCTAAGGTTCCATGGATTAGTAGAGTCCATGATGAGAAAAGAAAACAATAAATAAACACCACAATACAAAATTAAGAGATTAGGGTGTGTTTGGGATTTGCACTGAGCTTGGAACATAAGAGCACACAAGTGGGAAACACTTGTTGTCTGTAGATTCGCCTAGATCCACTTTATTCAAGATTCCATTATCTCCAATGATGTAAACTATGTTGTGAGGGTGACATTTATCCTCTTTATCAACCACAACCGCGACCTTCTTATCCTCGTCAACGAAGAAACTCCCAGCGACATAAGGAAACTGAAAACCAGCGACTGGTTTCATATCAACAGCAAACAACAAGTTGCTCCACGACACTGCATTAGGCTCAATCTTATTAGTAATCCATATCTTGACGACGGAATCAAGTTCATATCTTGACTGAAACAGTACTGCAAGCTGCTCTTCTCTAACACTAGAAAAAGTGACATTATGTCTATAGAAACCGTGGAAAGGCAGAGGCAGACGCGGTCCAAATCTCTCTTTTGTGAAATCAAAGGATAGTAGAAAATTAGAGTGATCTGATATCCGACCATCAAATGGGATCTCATCTTGAGCATACCAGTAAGTGTTTCCCTTTAGAGACACGCCACTGTATTGATACGAAATATACCAGTCCGGAGTGAAATCATCAATGACCTTCCATGAATTGGAGTTTAAACTGTACATCTGAAGCTCACAAATTCGGTCGCCACTGATCTCGTAGTACTCATTCACAAATCTCAAGACTTTGTGATTCTTTTTCTCGTATCCCAGAGCGTACTTCTCCCGTATGTGGTAAGAAGAATTTCTAGGTAATTCGATATACCTTGTTTGTCCCAAAAAAGGGTTCAAAACAACAAGCCTAGAGGAGTCTTTGTCTTTGTCCTTGTTGATGCATAAGAATAAACCTTGGCAGTGAAAGATTTTAGATATTTTGATTCCATCTGCATCGAGATTACCGATACGCTCTATAGACGGATAGAGTAAATCGACGGTCATCAAGGAAACTCTAGATTCCACCAGCATCACCACCTCAATTCCATTCTTCTTTAAAAAGCTCTCACCTTTCGTTAAAGTGTTCCACTTTTTACAGGTCAATCGCAGTTTCCCCAGAGATGTCACCGGAACCCTAGAGAGCACCTCCTCCTCCATATCACTTGGAAGATCTAACATCTTCGGATCCAACCCTAACCTCGCAAATCTCTCTTTTCCGTGTCTATCAATCCACCATCTCTTGCGGGTCTTTGGTGATATAAGCTCTTTGAATTTGGGCTTTATAGTAATGGGCTCAAGGCCCATTAAGGGGTCTCGTTTAGAACTTGATGATCAATGGCTGAAATGCGACAAATGAGTCTTGCTTGAGTACATTTCATTTGGAGAGTCATTTCGCAGAGACGACGCATAGCTTCTTCACTTGTCAGCTCTCAACGTTTCTCACCTGAAATTTCACTTCTGCTTCGTCTCCTAGAGCCCGATCTCTAATTTGGTAAAGCTCCCTCTCTGTTCCTTCTTCTTCATCTTCACTGATGGATCGTTATTTAGCTATTTAGGGTTTTGTGGGTTGCATTAACTAGAGTAAGTCGCGAATTCTTCTCCTTTTCCTTACGATTCTACGAATTTTCAATCTCTATCAGCCAATTTTACAAATTTGTATGTATCCCGTGGATTAATAACATGAATTTTTGACCTTTGAGTTTTTTTTTTTTTTTTTTTGTTAGGTTCTCGCTTTAGTTTTGCTTTTATGTTCATAAATTTTGCTCCTTTGTGTTATTTACTTTCTCTTAGGCTATTTTTTTTTATCTGTTGGTATAGACTCTAGAGTTTAGGGTTTTTTCTTTTTGGGGCACCATTTCTTTGATTGGAAATAGTCTCGTTTAATTCTGAATTGTGTAATCAATATTTGCATGCTTGTGGTGATGCAGGGAGTTCTTATGCGATGGTGTAATTTAATTTAAGATGACGCCTTCGCATAATATTGAGTTGGAGGCAGCTAAGTTTCTGCATAAACTTATTCAAGATTCTAAAGATGAACCTGCAAAGTTAGCAACTAAACTTTATGTGGTAATGTGGCTTAACCTGGTGCATGCTTTACTTTGTAATTTTGAGGTTTATCCCTGTCTTTTAACTTTTTTTATTTTTTTTATTACTCTAGATATTGCAGCACATGAAAACCAGTGGAAAGGATAACACAATGCCGTATCAAGTCATATCTAGGTATTGTTTTCCGTAGATATCACTAGTTATTTGTTAATGAATTACTGATTAGGTTGATTAAAATGAGATTATTTTCTTATGCTGTGAGGACGTGGGGTTGCTTCTTGCTGAATAAGATGCTGTAGTGTAGCCTTTATCTAACTCAAGACTTTGATTTAGTTTTAAAAAGCACGCCCGAGGCTTTTTAAAAAGATGATTTGGGATTTCTTACTCTATACTTCATCCTGTCTTGTATTTTTGTCTCAGAAGACTCACTTAATTCATTCGAAGCTTTTTCTACTGTGTCTTTCAGCCTCAAGCTGTTTCTCATGCTTTTGAAAATTATCACTCTTGGTCCTGTTTTTCATTTTAGTTCTACTGATATAATCTTTCTGAAACTCCAAGGGCCATGGACACTGTAGTCAATCAACATGGTCTTGACATTGAAGCCTTGAAGTCATCGTGTCTTCCTCATGCTGGTGGTACCCAAACAGAAGATTCTGGGTCTGCACATTTGGCTGGTATATCCTTCTCTCCTTTGTTTCAGTTGATTTTTTTGTTTATTATGTGGAAAATTTGGTTTGGTTCCTTTTTTTTTTTTTATGTTAAACTTCTTGCATCAATGTGGAATACAGGGTCTTCCCAAGCGGTTGGAGTTAGCAATGAGGGCAAAGCAAGTTTAGTTGAAAATGAGATGTCAAAATACGATACATTCACTTCTGGTAGGCAGCTTGGTGGATCAAATAGTGCGTCACAAACCTTTTACCAAGGGTCTGGAACTCAAAGTAACAGATCATTTGATCGTGAAAGTCCATCCAACTTGGATTCTACATCGGGAATTTCTCAATCTCACAATAGGAGTGAGACAATGAATCAAAGAGATGTCAAGTCAAGTGGAAAGAGAAAGAGAGGTGAATCATCACTTTCATGGGACCAGAATATGGATAACTCTCAAATATTTGAAAGCCACAAGATTGATGATCAAACTGGAGAAGTAAGCAAAATAGAAATGCCTGGTACTTCAGGTAGGGATATTTGCTTCAACGTTGTTTCTTACAGAACAAAACATATCCTTAATAATCTAGAATATAAGAAGCACCTTACTATTTTTTATGTATGCTTTGGTTAGCTTATTTGTATACATTGTTGCCATTAAACCTCAGGTGACATTAGGAATTTGCATGTTGGGTTGCCATCAGATGCATACACGACTCCCCAGGTACACATAACACTATTAAGTTTCCTGAATCCCTCCAGATTAAATATATATTGGGTACATACATCTTGTTTATGAAATCATTTTGAGCCACCCTGACTCTGCCAATTTCTAATATATTGGGACTTTGTGCTACACATATCTGATGCACAAAAACTTTTTAAGAATGTATAAGGAGATACAGTACTGGCACATGGTGGCTTATTTTCCAAAACATTTGTCTCTCCTTAGAAGGATTTTGTATTGGTTTTGTTTCAGTATTGGAAATATGAAAAAATGCTTGCATTTCCGTGATGATTTTCTTTTTCTCAAAAAAACTTAGATTCCACTAAATCCATTATTTCAAAAACGTGATTCGATTAATCCTTTGCCTTCTATATGATGTTTTGAATCTTACTTGCATTTAGTCTGACTTTGGCTCTGCAAAATGTCCTTTCCCCTTTTATTTCCTTCCAAAGATACCTTGTTGGAACTCATCCCCTCTATATGTGGCATCTTATTTTCTATGGCAGTGTGGCTGGCAGAGCAGTGAAGTCACAGCAATCAGGCCTCCAGTTCATAAAGAACCTGGAAATAATGTTGCAGCAGAGGGATTACTGCCTTCAGGTTCACCTTTTAGAGAGCAACAACTAAAGCAACTCAGAGCCCAGTGCCTTGTGTTTCTAGCTCTCAGGTATTTTACAGTCACCTAGCCTCTTTTATACTCATTTTGGTGTGGCAATTGTAACTCCGGAAATCTCTGGTTGATTTTCATCTCGTAGAAATGGTTTGGTGCCGAAGAAACTGCACGTAGAGATCGCCCTTCGAAATACTTTCCGCGAAGATGGTAATGTTGGTTCTCACTGAAGTTACTTTCAAATCCACTTTTTACATGCTTTTCCTTGGATCATAATTGGCCTTCATTACAGACGGTTTCCGCGGAGAACTGTTTGATCCGAAAGGGAGAACACATACGTCCAGTGATCTGGGTGGCATTCCTGACGTCTCCGCATTGTTATCAAGAACAGACAATCCCACTGGAAGATTGGATGAAATGGACTTCTCATCCAAAGAAACTGAGAGATCAAGATTAGGGGACAAAAGTTTCGCAAGTACTGTATTTTCTGACGGGCAAAAGCTTCTAGCATCGAAAATTCCCGGCTCTCAAGCACAAACTCAGGTTGCTGTTAGTCATTCTCAACTGACGTTTTCTCCTGGTTTGACCAAACACACACCATCAGATATGGTGGGGTGGACTGGAGTAATCAAAACTAATGACCTCTCAACTTCTGCTGCTCAACTCGACGATTTTCATGCTTCTGGTTAGTGGACTACCTTAGATAAGTTTGTTTTGATGGGTCTTTCCCTTTTGGAGTGTAGTATTGTGAACTAATTTGATTGATAACTCTTCGAACATGGATATATGGCACATAGCAGATGAAGAGGAAGGTAATTTGCAACCGTCGCCTAAGTACACCATGTCACAGAAATGGATTATGGGTCGACAGAATAAGAGACTATTGGTTGATCGGAGTTGGTCCCTTAAACAACAGAAAGCCGACCAGGCAATTGGTGCACGGTTCAATGAGTTGAAGGTCTCTCTATAGCCCCCTCCCTTCTTTCTTCTTGTTTTTCTTTTAGTTGGTGATACCTTTTGTTTTCACGAGTGATTGATTTTTCCTGTTGTCAACTTTTTTGCATTATGCTATTGCTTGTTGTCTGTGGTGGTTCTTGCTTTTCTGTGTTCTTGATCTTGTTATTGGAACAGATCAATGATCATACAGATATAGGCGTACCTGACATTGTGATCGGGTAAATTTTTTAGCTATTCCATCTTCGGCTCTGCCCACTAGAACCTGTCGGACTGATCCCGGGAATAATTTTAATTAAGCCAATATATTAAATTTGATCTCAGTGAGATGACATAATCGCAAGTTGTCTTAGGCAAGCATGGATAACCTCTTTTATGTATTCGTCTTCCAATAAGGAACACTGATTTTCTTCAGTTTACAACATTCACTAAAAAAACCTTCCTGTGATGTGGTTCTTATTTTCGCTTTTTCAAATTTTAAATAACTGCGAAGTTAGCTGTTTTGGCCTTGGGGTAATTTTTTGAAATGACCTTCACATTTGACGTAATACTGAAGAACTAGTTGTATTTCACATGTGTAGAAACACTAAGGAACTAGTTGTACTTCTGTCCTTACATTATAAGGTTCTTACTATTGTATATTCTGGAATCTGGATCTGGATAACACTGATTCATGTACCCTAATCTGCAGGAATCTGTGAGTTTGTCTGAGGATATATCTGCAAAAACCAAGAGTGTAATAGAACTGAAAAAGCTTCAGCTGTTAAATCTACAACGGCGATTGAGGAGGTAGGTGTATGTTATTTGCTTTAAAAAATATTAGGAAGGAGATGTTTCGCCTTCTTATATCTATCATGCTAATAAGTCGAACTAACAGGGATAGAACTAGATATTCTGTCTTTGTTATACTACAGAGGACGCAAACTATTTGTTATATCTGTAAAATATGTGCATATACATATTCAACCTGTTGTATCACCTCTCAGCTGCTATTGTTTTGTTGACTTGTTTAAGCAGTGAGTTCGTTTACAACTTCTTCAAACCTATTGCAACTGATGTTGAGCATCTAAAGTCATATAAGAAACATAAACATGGCCGGAGAATTAAGCAGCTTGAAAAGTATGAGCAGAAGATGAAGGAAGAGAGACAAAGAAGAATTCGTGAGAGACAGAAGGAGTTCTTTGGGGGATTAGAAGTTCACAAGTATGTGCAATTAGTTTTCTGACCTAATTCATTCTCTTATTAGGTGAATCGAATAGTAGACGATATTTTTTATATTGCTTTGTACTTAATCCTTGTTTGAAACCTTGCTATAGGGATAAACTAGAAGATTTGT